CAGAACTGTCTTCAAAATTTGCAGAACGATTCTCTGAACGGAGTTATGAAGGGTTTTGTCCCCGCATGGTCGTTTCACGTGCTATCGCGAGGAAACGTTGAAGCGTCTTTACATCTACGTATGGAACACTTCCGAAACGTGGCAGCATAGCGCAACGGGTAGGGAGCGGGTTTCTAGGCGAGACGACCAGTCGTGGGATCGGTTCTGCGGAAGGTTTCCCTCTTTTGGCATTTGTCCAAAGGAACATAGCCGGACCTAGCTTCTCGCATCTAACATGACTCTGCTCGCCTGCACTACCCTCCTAAGGGAAACTGCAATCAGTTTTTTTCGAAAGTGTAGACCCATTGCGGCCTGAAAGAGTGCTTCTGCTTGTACCCCTCGTAACACGTGTCACAAGGGTTTTTGTAATGAAATATCATCATATTCATGTTCAGCGGGTCGAATTACCCCTGGGGACAAGTTTCTAGCCGAATCTGATATTTCGACCTCACTTGGAAAATGTGGGCTATTTCATGGGTAATTAGCAGCAGATTGGAGCTCACCTACCACCGATGACTGATCTTGGAATGGGATTTCCTCCCGATAGTCAAGAAAATGGTGCAGACGGCACAAATAAGTAAGCCGGCTACTGTTGTTTGCAAAAAGACATGACTGAAGAGTTATTTCAGTTCGAAGACCAGTCATCATCAGTATGCTAGTCATAGTATAATGTTAGCCATCAGTTAGCCATGACTATCCATACACCATTTTTTCCAACTTGAGTCAGAAGCTCAGATTTCGCTAAGGTGACGTCCCTAGGGGTTATTTGACCCCTGAACACGAATATGATACCTATTTTGCGCGAAGAGCGCTGTGAGTCGCGCTACCGGTGCCAACGCTTTCGGATACCAGCGCGCCCTGTAAGAAGAAAAACAGTAAAGAATAACCTCAATAACTCCGCTCAGAGAATCGTTCTGCAAATTCTGAAGGCAGTTCTGAGTTCAGCGTGTAAAGATGAGTACAGTGATGTGCATCTCATGCTAAAATGGTCAGGCTGACCCCTGTGACTTTCCTGTCAGCTGAGTAGCTGAATTCCTTAGAATCAGCTCATAGTCAGGCCGCCAGACTATTTTTCGGTTCCCCAACATGTTCGGAAATTCACTGACTGAGTGAGTAGGTCTCCGCACGGATTTATATTGAATTTCAGGCGCAAGACGCCCACGTTATTGTGCGGTGAATTGGTTGAGGTTCTGTGAAGCTTGTGACTCGGTCCACAGATGACAAAAGATTAAGCCGAAAAGATTGGTTGCTCACCCCCAAAATTTCGTCATTCGTGTTAAGTTTCAACATCAGCCATCTGTGGCAAGCGAAGCTTGTTGGAAACTTAAGCAAAACGTCTGCGTACTTTGAACAGATCTTCTAGATAAAACAGGTTTTCCGTTATTTTTTTTTCGTTATTTTTTTGCCCCCGAGTTAATTAGGCGAGTCGATGATTTTTGTCTATCCTATATCACTGTATCATGTCTTGGTTACTTTCACAAGGCAAAGTGTCATTAAGGGCTTTGGGGAGATCTGAAGTTTCGAAGTTCCGCTGAATAATCAGTTTAGCTTTTTCTATCCCCTTTATCTTATGAGTCACTGGAAGACCGCTCTGCTCTGCTCTGCTGGGTCGAGGGAGCCAACATCTCTCCTGTACTACTAGGGTTGTCTCTCACCATGTTACAGTATCTCGCTAGTATCTGCGCTTCGTATCTGAAGGTACTTTATTCAAAAGTAGACAACATTGTGGCAGGTCACTGCCAAGAAATGATGACCGTTAACTCGACACGCTGGAGGCACAGTCGAAAGCAACCAACACTAACCTGACAACAGCTCTAGGATGCGCTCATAAAATAGCTTTCAAGGATCTTCGCAATCTCGGGTACCGGCTAAGCACTTCGCCATGAATCAGCTTCATAAGGCGAAATCATTGTTTCTGACCGAGTTTCTTGCGAAGGGAGCTTCATTGTGTAACTAGTGTAACTTCAATGCTGGATAGTGGTACAGCAATGGCGTCCACAGCCCATTCTGCCACTTAAAATCACGTTCCGCGATCAAGTGATCAGCGAAACCTCCGTGCGTTCGGCATTGTCCGCACTCACGGAGAATATACCACTTTCGTCACTCGAAATGGCGAGATAACGAAGCTAGAGACGCGTGAGTTTTGCAACCGGTGCAACCGCGTACTGTAACTCTGCAAGACAACGGCTTACAAGCGGAATTGCGTGTGTACATAGCGTTGCCTGGAGCGTCGTAGGCGATTTCCTATGCTCTTGCTGGGAATTGGTTGCACCTAGAATCCTGCTGGTTGGGCTTGTCCTCATGATGAACTGGTCCAAGGCGCCGGTCCCACTGCTAGGGTGGTGACTGAGCACCTGTTACATGTTCCACTTGATCGCAGGAATTGTCTTTTAAAACATAGCCGACGTCACTACTTAAATCGTTCAGGAAGGTTTCTTGTTTCCTAGTTTGTGGTTCGCACGTGTGAAGATGAGGAGTTTAGAATTAGTTGTCTCCGTCCGGGAATATGGCCCAACCTAACTTATTTGCCAGACTTAATGCCATCGCCTTCTAATGTCCCTAATGTTTCACCTAAAGGCTGAAAAGTTCGATAATCGTCTTGACTCGAGAACGAGATCTACCTCTTCTTCTCATCGTTGCACGTGCACTTCTGGTAAAGCAGGATGGGGAAGCTGCCTAACGGAAGAGGATAGTGTACCATATATGGTGATTGCCGTAGTAATTGAAGGCTTTGTTCCAACAAATATCCAGCCTAAAATTTTGTTTAGGGTTACTGTGGACTTGTGTGGGACTTCCTGCTTAGCCCGAAAAAAAGATAGATCCAGTCGTTCTATGAATAAGCTAGCCAGTTATTCTAATTATCGCTTTATTACTGTTAGTCGCCAGAATAAGAAATTTTGATATCAGGCTCGACGGTGGATGGCATCGCCGAATTCGTTACACGATGACGTCCACAAGCAAGTGACAGCAGTATGCCACTTTCTCTACTTCACCACAATGCCATGCGTGGTGAGGTGAGGGCTACTCAACCCCAAATTCTATTTTTTTGACTGTGACTCACTTAATGAAATGAGATGTATAGTGTGAATACAGGAATCACTGCTGGAGGTTCAGTTGAAGAGTAAAGGGACTCATTGGTCGACTGCTGTTCAACTGGCAGGCTGTTCTCATGGCGATCGTGTTGTGAAATTGGCTGCTAAGCAAATTGTCGCCACTAAAAACGCAGCAATCTTCGCCTCCGCACTGCAGGTTCGTCGACTTTTTAATGTCCTTAGTGGAAGTAGTAACGAAAATGTTCAACCTTTAGGCTCATGCTCTGAAATTATTGGGCAGAAAAAGCTCAAGGAAGTTGCGCTCCCTGTTGGAGATCCTTCCCGTGCTTCGCCAAAAAAAGTTTGGGGCTCGGCGCTCTTCGGCAACAAGGAGGGAGGAGGGGGCATTTGCACTTCGCAGTTTGTAGGTCTCACTCTGGTGAAACCTGTGAACTCTTGTCCAACTGGACCAAGCTGGTCCAGTCACAATGATAAAACCTGTCACCTCTCGTAGATCTCTATCGAGATTTGCGAGAGTTGTCTATGGCTGACACGTGGATGGGAAGTGACCGAAGTGCAAAATGCTCCCCCGTCGCCGAACTGCGCCTTGGACTCATTTTGGCGACGGGGGAGGGAGAAGGGGTACAGGAAGTGGGAAGTAGTTTGAACTTTTGCTGCTTCGGTTTACAAATCTCACTCTGGTGAAACCTTTGAACGCTTGTTTCACAGTGACCACACATGTAGCACAAAGTTTCAGTCGGACTTCTCTCTTCACTACAACGCCAAGTTTCGGGAAGCACTCTGGACGCAAATTGGTAAAATGACAGTTCAAGAAAGGAGTTTGCTATTCTCCGCGGATGAAGTCGAACCTCGGCCTGCCTCCAAGATATTGCTTCACTCGATTAGAACTCTGGAAGAGCTCAGTCAGGTATCAGGCAACTTCTTTCCTAATTTTTGAATTTTTGTCATCAGAGAAAGGCAGCATATTTTGCACTCTTTGCCACTATTCCTACCTCATTTCGCTTTTCATAGCTCCCATTTAGTCTTGCCTACGGGACATTACCGTAACAAGAGATCAGAAGCCTAGCAATTTGAACCTAGCAATTTCAGGTACGATCGCTGGTGGAGAACTGGGGTCAGAAAATGTCCAAGCATTTGGAATACATCGAACGGCATTTGCGATGGAAACTTCATGTTTCACGTACTTCTTTACGAGAGTTCTTTTCTAATCACGCCACAATCTAGCTTGCCATAATTATTGCCCCGTAAAAGCCGACAAGCCTATGGCGGAGAAAAACCGTCTGCAAATCATATGAATTTCATACTCTTTCCCTGAATTATTTTCTCAGACATGTTCCTCAACCAATTTCACACAACTTTCACTTCGATCGAAGGGCAAGGACAGATTCCACGGCAAAATTAGATCACATTCTATTTTTTTCGATTGGTAAGGTCTGTCAGCCAAGCAGTGACTCGATTCTCACTTTATTGGGGGTCCTGTTCTCAAAATGATCACACCTCCGTTAAGAAGGTGATATGCCGACCAAAAAATTATGAGGGTATTTTGTTCGACAAACGGGTTTCGTCGCCTGAACAGGATCCTTTGAATCGACCATTCTCACTTTTGAAATTCAGGCCCTAGTCTATAGCTATATACTTTCTTGATAGTTTCCGCGCGAGTCTACATGAAGTACCTTACAAGAGCACATCTGTAGGGAAAGCCCCTCTAACTACTGCTAGATTATCGGGGTTCAAACCGTAAATAAAAAGAACAGCCAGCTGCTCCGAAGCAGTAAGCTACTGTAACTCAATCTCCACCCGATAACTAGAAGCAGCTCTTGACCGGTACGGATTCTTAGCCACTTTTATCTTGATCACAAAATATTTCAATTGTAAAGTCCATTGATGTCAATTTTGATGAAAAATTCCTTGGTATTGTGACCCCCCCCCCTTCTTCCCTTTTTTTACTTGTGGGTTCTGAAAAGCTTTATTTCACTAATATCATTGTAATAAAATAGTCTGTGATCCATTTGTATTATGTAATCGAATAGACGACTAGCAAATGATTCCTTTGAATGTACCCTTTATTATGATGATTCCGCTCCACAAATGTGTACCTCAGTGAGCAAAATTTGCTAATAAAGATTGTATTTTTTTGATCGTTTTATCATCAGTCAGAATCAAACAATAACAAAAATTCATCACAGTAACTGAGAAATAACACAGACAACTTCGAATAAGGCCTCGTCGACCTCAGCTAACCAGTCCAACGAGCCCGGCCCGACCGGTAGGAATCTGTCATCCACCAGAGCTTTTCGCTACATCAGCTCTTGGCGGGATGAGTACGAGTGCCGTCCTCGTCCTCATCAGAGCCGGACTCGTCGCCACTGCCATCCTCGCCTTCATCGTACTCATAGTCATCGTCGTCATCTTCATCGCTCTCATTGCTTAAAAACATAGCTGTTCCTCATGAATAGCTCGTCGCAATCAAAGAAAAATAGAATGATTGTTCCCTTCTGGGTTACGCTAAGCATTCGGCTTCAAAAGTGTTGCAGGTCTAAACCTCTGCCTAGTCTACAAAAGTTATATCATAGTTACGAAGAGTCAGCCGATATTTCAACTTATGTCACTACGTAACTGAACCCTTGTCAGTTCATAAGCTCCAAGGTGTCATCCTCCTGAATATAAAGGGCAACGTCTGTTCTGTCTGTTTGTCTGTCTGTCTGTCCGGAAATTCAGAATCACCTGAAGAGCCAGTTTGAGGGGCGGGTCAAGGGTGGGATGGGCTAGGGCCAAGATGTACGGAACACACGTGAACTGAGCTAAGCCCCGCCCACTGTGGGCGGGGCGTGCGCACAGTTGTGAGCTACATATTTCAAAAAATCGTAAATCGCTTACAAAAGCACGAATAACACATCCGCTGGGGTCGAAATAGCTTGTCGCCGGCTTATGAGAAGCTGGCGCCAAAGTAATCCAAAATCAGACTCGCTAAAAACTGGTTTCTAGGGACACATTCACATGGAGTGTTGGGGATGTTAATGATGCGGTAAAGGGGTACACTTGGTAGCCATCATGTTGTGCTCGTCTGCACCTTTCTCCAGTATAGTGACCCTTAGCGCTGCAAAGGCTCAGTTCAAGCTAAAGCGACGGACCGCTATCGCAGGCACTCAGAAAGGATGCCGCATTTCTCGTCGCGTCTCCCTCTGTTCTAGTACACCGCTCGGTGCACGAAACCGATTAAGTCCGCGCTACACGCGCTGGAGTGGATACAAGCATGTGATGCCGTCGCTTGTGACGCATCAGTTGGGCAGTTTCAGGCTAAGCGGATGCGATGTTCGTGCTCAGGGGATCAAATTACTCCACTAACAAGTTCTCAAAATCATTGGCTGAGTTAGGGCATTAGGTCAAGCTGTTCGGGCTAATGTTCCACTATTCGTTGCGCCGATCGAATCTACTTTTAAACGTCTCCACCATTTCAACCATGGGCCAAAGACGTGGTGCGCTTCAGACAGTGGTCCACACCAGTCGCTCTGCGCCGACATTCCGTAGCAAAGCAAGATCATCGCTTACTTGTAAGTGTAACCGGCTGCGTACTCTCCATCGTCGTCATCACCCGCTTCATAATCTGGACGATGTTGTCTACCGTATTCATGTCGTCGTACTAAAACAGGGAACTTATAAGTGAAAGCGCTTTTAACTCAGGCAATACTGAACTTGTACTGTTACGCTTACCAGATACACTGTAATCCTTGGTTTCTTTGACGGGACAAGTGCATTTCGGGCAGGGTATCTCCTGTGATTTACTCACAACCACCCCTTTACGTCGAACATGTTCATCACAGAAACAGATTTTACACCGCATACATGTGTACGCACCGAGACGATTGCATGACAGACCTGGAAGAAAACATCTGAGACATCAAGATGGTGTAAAAAAAACAAATAAATTTGACTAAAAAAGAATCAAGGTAATCTTTTTTGAGCCAAGGTCATAGAAATGCACGTCAGTGGCAGTGACAAGGGAAGAATGAGAGGTTGAAGCGGCGGTTAGACGGTTTGAAATGAAGTACGCAGACTGGTTCTTGAGCGCTGATTACGAATCCGTCTTCCTTGTCTGTTGTGAACCTCTTCAAACGAAGTTACGGAGTTTTTTTTACAGGGAGCATACACACAGCTAGTTCGAATTTAGGGCACAAAGTTGCTTCAAATGACATCGAAGCTCGGCGGGTATGTGCTTGGCCTCATGTCAGCAATTCAACTCTAAGTGCATGCAGTTTGTCTCACATGTAATGGAATTTTACAAACGAATTCGGTACTGAGTGCACGTATTCCCGCCCCACAAAAACTCTCTTTACTTACTTTCCTACAGAGAATTTCGCAGCAGATAAAGAAGACGAAATCGTAACAATTATCAAGTGATCGTGCGGTCGACATCTCATTCCAAACGGCCACCTCGACCTACCATAATTCAGTTGTAATGCCGGTGAAATCGAACTCATAGTTTCGTGTACGCGCATTCCCCTATACTCCGCTGTAGCAAATCATGAACGAGAGCTTAGACTGAGACGCTTGTTCAGCGGCGAAACTGGGTGGAGAAGCAGTCGCGGCAAGCGAACACGTGATAGTTAGTGTAGGAGGAAGAAAGGCGAGGCTTCTAAAAATCCCACGCTGTTTTGTCGCAGGCCTTGTGCAGATCATATGCATCAGTCCTCGTCCATGACCTTATACATCTACAACTTTCGAAATAGTACTGCCGCGAAGAAGAGCGAAACGTACGAAATAGCGGCTGTCAGATCACCGCCAGGCATGAACGAACAAGCGAAAACGCTAAGGTAAGGATCTGCCTCCCACTAGTGAAAGGCTGGAGTATTTACCACGTGCTAAAGAAGACAGTGCAGTCGAAAGCAAGAAATGATTGATCACGCCTGTTCGTCAAAACCTTATCAAACACAGTATATTCAATATACTATATATAAATTGCTTTTTCTGCGTCTGAAGTTCATAAATGGAACTCACACTTATAGTTTTCGCTGTAGACTTGCTGACAAGCTCGCTTGATGTTCGAATTGGTCGTCTTCGCACAAGAAATCGAAACAATAACTGCAGTTGTAAATCCGACCACCTATAAAAAGTCATTTACCTATCAAAGTACTGGCACTACTTTTCCCAAAAACTGCGCTCAATTTTCCTCGAAGTTTGTCTCTCTAAGGGTAGTTTTTACAAGGGGTGTCTCCAATGGATTCATTATACCCCTTCCCACAAACATGAAAGCTTTGAAGGCATCCAGAAATCAATCGCGCAAGGCCTCCACCCTTCTTCTTTACGCGTCTTTCCTTGTTCACTCTCTACATTTCATGTTTCTCTTTTCCTTTTATTTACCCCATTTCCCGCTCACCTTCCCTCTCTCCTTCACTTCAGTCAGTCAAAGGACGTGACAAGAATTCGCCTATAGTCTCTCACAGGAAAGAGTTTAGTGTTCAAAAGCTAATATTGGGACCATACTTCCAAAGATTTTTATGGTGAAACCTGGTTTGAAGCAGAGGGTTGTAGAGCAGGCGTGATGCGTTTTCGGTCCAAACAAATTAATTTCTGCGGGGGCTGCGTTCATACTTTTCGTAAGCGTTTTCAGCGTTCTTGGGCAAAGCGGAAAGTACACGTATTGATCTAAGGCCTTGATCGTTTCAGATGTTTTGAGCGTTTTGCGCGCCGACAGATACCTACACCATCCTTCTTACTCACATTGCGCAAACGGAACGCGCAGAATGCATGGAATGCTCAAACGCTGGCATTTCTCCCGAAGCGCTACACATTTGTCTTCGCCCAACAATGGTGGAAAGTTCGAAGCGCTCACAACGCTGACGAAGAGCATAAACGCACACTGAGCAGGTTGAATAACTCCCAGGAACGAAATCCCAGCCAAATGGAGATTTTAGCTCTGAGGTACTAGGCACTGAGCAAACATCTATCAGTTGCTGCACAGGAATATAACAAGCAGCTGGAAAAGAAATTCTGAAAAAAAAACTCACCATGATCCCAAACACCACGTTTACATTCTATGCACTCAGCATTCCTTAGCGGGCAAGAGCAAGCATGAGTAGTGAGGCACTTCTTCCCATGGCATATGAAAGCCTCGCAGAAATCGCAAACGGCACCTACCATACCCATGCCTGAACATTTGAGGGTTTATGAGTTAATAGATGCATTTCAAAGAAGAAAAACAAGTTTTTCGAGAGAAAATGGTCTATAAAGAGACCCTCATACTTTCTGTGGGTTTTGAAACATTCAATTCACACTATTACAACCACATAAAAGAAGAACCGCTCCTTCTCCAGGGCACAAATGAATGCCACTCGAACAGGCAGCAAGCTCACGAAGCTAATATTTGAACCATGAAAGTGAATCATAGTCAGGTTTCCAAGAGATTGTAATATAACCAGCGACTTCGAATCAAGATTAGCTCACCTGTAGTGAACTTTCCAGGATGTTTGATAACGCAGTCTCCCGTTTTTGACATGCACTTCTGTTTACCGCACTGAGCGCAAGTTGGTAACTTGGAAATGGCCGAACAAAAATAGCAGAAAGCTCGGGTCTTCTGATCGCGGAGACATTGATCACACTGCTGAAAGATACCAAGCCATTCTACTTCTCAGCAGAAAAGTGAAGAACTTATACGTACCATTTGTGTATTGCATGGATGTTCCGCGAG